GCTCTTATGTTGTGTTGAATTTATGCCTTTATTATTAAAATAAATTGAAATAATTATATTTTTTCAGCACAAATGATGAGTCAATTTCCACCCGGTTTCAACGCGGGTAGTCTGCAAGGTTTTGCTGCTGCAACAGCAGCGAACTTCACCACTTTCAGGCCCCAGTATTCGGTACCTGGACAGCCACCATCCGGATTTCCATCATAAACAATATAAAAATTACATTTCCTTTTCATGTTAGACTTAAACGTGATAGCACAAACATTTAAATTAATCATTCTGTTTTTTTTTGTTCATCTTATGAAACAATATATTATACTTGGCTGAAAAGAGATCTCTTTCTTTGACTTAACAGCATATTTCGTTTACGTTTAATATTGCTTTTCATTTGTAGTTAACTAAATTATTGTCGTCACGTTGTTCTCTTTAATTTTTTTTTTTGTTATTTAAAATTTAATTTTAATTACGTACAAATTATTTATAATAAATAAATAAAGTGGTTGGTTTTAGGTATTATTTTTGACGTGTAATGGTCGGTAATGTGTTTTTTTAGTTCTCTACTCTCGATTTATATTTAAAAAGTATCCATAGGGTTAAATAATGTAAGAAAGTGGTTGTTACAAAAAAAAGGTATGCTCGCTCTATCCACTTTGGTTGTAGATTTTTTTATTAAATATGGTTTGTTCAGAAAACATTCCCAATAAAAGAATTACCACGCCAATTTAAGACTTTTATTTCACATAGTGTTGCGTTTTAATTTAATTAATATTTTCAACTAAAACTATCATATTAATTGAGATTATTATTCAAAATATAATAATTCTGCAAAAGAACAGTTATTTTGCATAGTGTTGCGTTTTAATTTAAAATTAATATTTTCAATTAAAACAATCACACTAATTGAGATTATTAACCAAAATATACTAATTGAGCAAAAGAACAGTAGTAATTAAATAGTACGTTAATAATTGAAGATTAAGATAAAGGTTTTATAGTAACTGTATCTTTTAATCTTTTCCATTTGTGTTTTAATTTTTTTTGAAACCAAGATAAAAAACTAGTTTTGTAATAATGCCCACAATAGTATTTTGAGTCCCTTTTATCGTAACAATCCTCATACACAAATAAATTACTGTAAAATGAAAGCACCTACAATAATAAATAAGTGGGAAACAAACGAATGCTAGCTTAAAATACGAAATAAAGTATTGATTAAAGCATTAAAAATGGTGAAGGTGTTGGGCATTTAATAAAGTATTTGAAAACAAAGGAATGCTAGTTTTAAATATATTAAAAATGGTGAAGGCGCCGGGCATCATTACGATTTTGTGTGCACATTGAAAATTTGAAATTTTGTATTAGGAGAGCATAAGCTGCGCAAGGTCTTTTAGGAAAATTGCGCGGTTCTCCCAAATTTAGTGTTATTATTACTGTTTTAGGTAAGTTGCGTTCATTTATACTACATTAAAGTAAATCCTAGTTTCCGAAGTGATCTAAAATGAAAATACGAGCTTATTCGGCTTCGGAATAAAATAAAATTCCAAAAATATGGATTATGATATTAAATTTTAACAGTTCATCAATAATTTTTAAGTAGACAATTGTAAATTAATAAAAATAGAGATTATTGAAAATGTGGATTATCGAATGCTTCAAAAAAGATGGCTATTGTTTGTTTATAATTTAATAACAACTCATTAATGTGATTTACTCAAAATTTCAACTAATTGTTCTAAGAAATGCACCTGTTTAACTGAAACAATAACGTGTATCACGAAAAATAAAGTTTTATTTGGAATATAATACATTTAAGGATCAGAAATGCAACAGTTCTCCTGTAAGTAACCTTCCATGGGTCTTCTAATACATTTGTTCCTCAACGAATTTGGACAATATACCACTGTTTTTCTAGCTTTTACGTCTTGCAAATACAATGTAGCAGTATTAACAAAAGTGCTTATTACATGAAATTATATTCTCATGAAAGTGCAATTTCTGACCATAACCCAAGAAAATGGATATGTGGATATTACATTCCTAAAAAAAGTGGTTAATGCCTTTGTTACAAAGCTTGTTAAAGGTTTGTAAATAGGTCTTCTATATTTACAGTCTAATTATATATTGTTTATAGATTTAAATGATTGATTGAAGTGTTCGTCATTCAAATAAATAATGAAGAATTTTCCCCAATGTCAGATAAATATGGTGTTTTTATTTGAAATCTAATTCTGAGTCTTCATACTGATTTAAATTAGTTTGCATCTATAATATTAAAAATTACGAAGTGCTAAGTGGTCATTTATAAGAGGGCTTTTTTTATTTAAAATCTAACTGTAAATCTGCTGTTCAACAGAAATTGTAGAGATATTTCTAAATGGAAATTTATATCCTGTTATTTTGACTGATAAGATTGTATGTTTTATTTATACATCAATTAGGTGCATAATACAAATTAATTTAGTAATAAGAGTAACCAAAATTGTTTATGTAAATAGATGTTTTTATAGAAATTCTGATTTTAATTTTCTTATCAGAATTAGTGCCCAAGAAATTCCTGTACATTCTGTTGAATTGGTACAAATTTCTACTTAATAGTATCTAATTTCTTATTTAAACTCCAAAGAATGGCAATTGCAGATTATTTTGAATATAGTAAATATTATTTATCATACATGTATTTAAAACATACACTATACACTTTTAACTTTTACTTTTTATGTAATACATTTACATAAAACAATACAAATATAAAATGCAAAACAACTTAAAAACTAAAAAATACAGAACTTTTGCTGTTTCATTAATAATAGTTAAAAGAAAGGAATATTAAAATACTATAGTACTGTACAATACAAAATTGAAAAGAATTAATTTATTTACAATAACAAAATACTTTTACATATATGAGTATGATGGTCTCTCTTTGAAGAAGTTTCCTTTGAAAATCCAAGAGTATATTTCAACTTCAACCTGCAGATTAAAATAAAGTTGGTAAATATTTAATTTTTAAAAATTTTGCAAACATTAAAAATTAAACACGAAAACATATGTTAAATTGTAATAGGTATATTAGAAAAATAGAGATTTTGGTTGATTTAAGCAGATTTTTTATTTGGATTTAAATAATCTTACCAGCTTCACAATAATATAGTGATAATCTTTTACAATTCAGACGATTTTTCAATATTTAAAAGATTTACTCAGCAGGCATCAAATAGAGAAATATGTATAAAAAATTACAAGGAATTTGATAGTGCATACGAATTTTTAATCAGACTTAAAATATATAAACTGCGGCCTCCACGATTGACGCTCCTGATTTTTCAAAATTTAATGATTAATTTTAATGTAGCAGATATTGAATAAATATCTAAAAAGCGACGAGAAATATGATGGTGTAGACGGATTTTTTATTGCAATCGAAATAAAATAGATATTTAAAATTTTATATAAAATGCCCTCATTGCAAAAAAAGGTGGGAAATTTAAATAATCTAATTGAAAATGCAAAAGATCTGTGGATTGTTCAAGGTTGAATTGTGACAATCATAGATAGTAGATAGTGACATTTATTACTGTAACCTCGCTTTTATTATCATGAAAACTAATCAAATAATCGCAAAATTGCAGTTTAAACATTTTATTAAAAATTTATCGGATATTTATCAAAGAGATAGGTGCGTATTAATATTTCAGAGGTGTGTCATTCACTGTACCCATGATGTTATTCGTGTTATTACAGCATACTTGCTAATAAACCGATGTACATGTTTCAGTTTTTTTATAATAATGCATACATTGTTTTAAAATAGCAAAAACATTAAGTCATTGAAGTACATTTTCCAGATGAAGAAACGAATCACAAATATTAAAAGTGAATAAAATGGAAATAGCCGAACTGAAAGTAGAAATTAAAATTTGTGGTGTGTGTGGTGACAAAGCTTTTGGCCATAATTTCAACGCAGTTACGTGTGAAAGTTGTAAAGCGTTTTTTCGTCGAAATGCTCTAGCAAACAAAACGTTTAAATGTCCTTTTAACGACAGTTGCGAAATAACAACCGTAACTCGTAGGTTTTGTCAAAAGTGCCGTTTGGACAAATGTTTTGCAATAGGTATGCGTAAAAGTTTAATCATGTCTGAGGAAGATAAAATTCAAAAGAGACAGAAAATAGAAGAAAACAGAATAAACAAGAGAAGATCAGTATCTTCCTTTAAAAGTTCTTTCAAGAAAATTAAAAGGAATACATATTTCAAAAAAGCTCTACCAAATAATTTTGCTCAAGACTGTAAAATAACTAGTGGGGTTAATACAGATCAAAATATTGAAAAGCCTCAAATAAATATACCCAATGTGATAAATTATAGCACTTTAGAACCAGTCAGTACAACATGTGTACATAGTGATTCCTCCAGTTCATTTTCAAGTGAAATAACTTCATCTTTAATACAAGATGCTTCAAGTACAAATTCATGCATGCTAAGAACTATGTTAAACACAACTCCTAATACTAACTCCTACAATAGTGATGAAGATGTTCAATCTACATCAGAAACTGTTAACAACAACAATCAAAATTGCAATCATAATTCCAATCATACACCTATTTCAATAGATGATGCTGATGTTACAAAAGATGTTGTACAAAATGTAAAAAGGTAATAACTGAACAGTAACATTTTATTTTTAATTACACTTTACATTTTATAGGAGTAAAATTGAACCTAATTCAATTGAATCAATATTATGTGAAGCAATTAAATTGGAATTTCAATCCTATTCATGTTTAGCTCAGTGTCACAGTAGTTCTAGGGAGCTAAATGATGCAGAAAGGGCCAAACTGAATGAACTTATTGTTGCAAATAAGGCCCTTCTAACTCCACTGGATGAAGAAATAAGTAGTATAGGATCAAATTACAAAGCAAAAGTAACTTAAATACCTCTTTTGTGGAGTGAACTTTTGTTGTTTGATTTTACCCTTAATTTTTCCTTTATTAGATCACCTTTGTCTATTTAGCTGTAGCCTTTTAATAACATTACAATAGGTTGTATTTTCAGTTATGTGGTGATCAGCCAAATGGAAATTTAATGGATGTTATAAACTTAACTGCCATTGCTATAAGACGTCTTATAAAAATGGCAAAAAAAATTAACGCATTTAAAAATATGTGCCAGGAAGACCAGATAGCTCTTTTAAAAGGGGGATGCACCGAAATGATGATACTAAGAAGCGCAATGAATTACGATACCACAAAAGAGACGTGGAAGGTTAATTAAATTGTTTTACAATAATTACGAGAACCCGAATTTATTATTCTTTATTAATTTGATTTAAGTTCCTGTCACGTATAAATGCTGTGACGTATATTCAGTTTGTTAAATAGATATCCTTCCTAAGGGCCTTGTCAAACATTTGAAATACTAGTTAGTAATAAACATCAGTAGAAGGCTAAATACCACCCATAACTTACATAAATATTGCTTTTAAGGAGCAAATTCAGTTTGGTCAGTGATTTATTGAAACTGCCTGTATGTGCTGATGAAGACTAATAAGTTCGAAATCGCAATTCACGTCTGGTAGTTTCGATAAATTGCTGACCAAAAACTTATTCTTATTCTTTGATAGTAATTTTAATGGCAATTGCAGATACCTCATAGTCAAGAAAAATTAAGCAATATAAAAGTAGATATTCTTAAGCAGGCAAAAGGAAACATTTATTATGAACATGAAAAGTTTATAAAAACTTTCGACCAAAAATGGCGTTATGACGAAAATATTGTTCTTATAATGTGTGCAATAATATTATTTACACCAGACAGACCACTAATTATCCACCAAGATGTCATTAAATTGGAACAAGTAAACTGAAATTAAACATCACTGTTCTCTCCCCAAATAAATAATTTTTTATTTTCAGAATTCTTATTATTATTTATTGAGAAGATATCTTGAGAGCATTATGATGGGATGCGAGGCAAAATCAACTTTTCTCAAGCTGATCCAGAAAATAGCAGAATTACATAAACTTAATGAAGAAGTGATTAATGTTTATTTAAACGTTAATCCTTCTCAAGTGGAGCCGCTTATTCTAGAGATTTTTGACCTTAATCATTAAATGACGTAGTATTGCCTTTTTGTGCATAACTTTGCTCATTACAAATGTTAAGATGAAAAACACAGCCAAAGGTAGTTAAATGAATAACAAACAATATGATTTGTAAATCTAATTGTAAGTTATTTTTTTACTTGAGGATTAGAATTGTTAATATTTGCACATTATGTAAGACTTGTCTCGATTAACGTACTTAAATTGCCGTACTATTTTATTTCCAATTTTGACACTGTTGCATGTAATTCATTCCAATAATTTTTCTTAATTTTAAATACTTGTGCCATGTGAACCAAAAAAGGACAAAAGAATAGTGATAAGCCCAGAGATATCTGAATCTTGTTTATGTTTGTGATGTGATGTTAATTTGTTAAAAATAAATATATATTTTATTTGAATGTGTTTTTCCCTCATATCATAAAATTGAAAATTACATTTTCCTATTTATAAAAATAAGTTGGAGAAAGTGACTTATTGAACAAATAGTATTTAAACTTAATCACCACATGTAAAGTTAATAATAATTCTATTATGGGTCATAAAACTGACTCTGTCCCTGCTTAGAACTTTTATTTGAAACTGTAGCAAGTCTCTTCTTGGTACTATTTGAACTTTCTTTTCTCCCCAAAATAGGACTTGTACTGGTTCCCATACTTCTTATCAAGTTCTTCAGTCCTTTGGCTTGATTATCAAAAGTAGTGTTCTCCTGGGCAATTATGTAAAAGTCATCAAGCAAATGAGGAGGTGGTTCAACATGTACAGGAGTTACATTTATATCAGACCCCTTATCCATTAAAAGTGCCAATCTGCTTTTTAATGATTCATTTTTCTCTTCCAATTTCCTTAATTTTGCAGTATCCTCCTCATATGCCATCAAGGTTGGAATCGGCATATACTAGAGTATGATTTTACAAAATAAAACTGCACAAAAAAGTAAACGACAAATCTTACTTGAAAAATTGAAGCTAAGAAATTATGCAATGAAACCAGTAAAGTATCTTGCCACTGACGTGTAAAATGGACTGAAAATATAGGATTTTCCTCAGGATTTTTAATGTATGGTAACACTAAAACAATCTCTCATTAATAAGTGCAATAACAATCACTTGACAATATCTTACTGAACCAGTCTTTCCATTCAGTTTGGCTTTGTAACTCTGATGTCATCTTTGTAAAAAATTCTGTTATTTTCTCTGGCTTATTATTAATAGCTGCATTAACTAAATATAGTTTCAAAACTGCATTTTCTAGTTTCTTGACAGCTACAATGAATGAATAGTGTAAATTCATTCTCTTTTAAAATATAATCATTATTTAACCTCCAGTAAAAGGACTCTCCAGTTTTGAAAACATATGACTATCTAAATGACCCCATATTTCCTTTAATCCAACCAAATCATAAGTGTTAACGTAGTGCAGGATTTGATCTACTATCTTATCCACACGAAAGCCCCTTTCTTTTTCATTCTTTAAATCGTTATCTAAGGACTTTACGGCCGTGTTGAAGCCACGAAATAAGAGATATTCTCGTATCAATTCGTCCATAAATTGCACGTGAGCCATATTTGAGATATTTTAATAAAAATTAATAAAATATGAGCAGTTTGACAATTCTTCTGCTAACCTCCAATTCACTTTATGTATACAAAAGTACTCCTACGTATATACCACACACATAACACTGCTGTATTGAAGGATACAATTCTACCTAGAAGCAGTTTAATTGGTTTATTTGAATTACATTTTTTCAAATACAACATAGAGCATTTTAATGTTAAATCTTATAAGATTTGCAAACTATCAGAGGTAAAAGACGGGGTACAGGTCCTAGAACTGGTAGTTGAAGAACGAACACTGGTACTACTCCAAAAAGACGAAGAAGATTTTTTCGAGCAAGATTGTCTCATACATGTACATGATTTTTTCTTTGAATTGCGCGAAAGAGATGTTTTTGACCTGGATTTCTTACCAGACACTACACGACTTGTAAAAATCCTTTTAACAGTATTGATAGCATTATTTCGTTTAACACTTTGGAACCGAGAACACTGCACTCTTGAAGCTGGGCCAATTATCATATATTTGCCATTTTCTTTAGAAACGAATCCAAGGGTGGTTAAATACTTCAATGTCGAATTTACTTGGTCCTTTATGTCCCCATTAATCCTATAGTATCCTTTTCGAATAATATATCGAATTATATTTCGTTTAGAGACTCCTGTGGCATTCCTGGGACATGATTGTAACTTTTGTATGACCAAAAGTATCTTTTGACAAAAACTTACGAAATGATAAACTACAAATTTGTTACGATCTTTACAATTTCCTGTTGACGTGAACATGATACAACGCAAATTACTTACTAATAATTTAATGTAATATTTGACGCAATTGAACCTGACATTTAATTAATCGTAAGGCGAATGTGTATAGAAAACTTTTGATGCGTCAGAAATTAAAGGCGATTAAGACTTTGCTTTAATAAAGTGCATATAAAATCCTACCTGATGCAGCTACTGTCGATCCTATTGGCACTCAACCTCCTTCTTTTACCACATTTTCCTATAATAATTTATTAATTTTTACACACCAATTTTTGTAATATTTTTCTTTTAATTATGAATGAAAACATTACCAAATTTGCTTACTTTAAGTTACTTGCTTAAGTAATCAACGAAAATAAGGTAAAAATATTTTTTTCTAACGAATTAAAAGTAATTTTAGTTCAATAAAAGCAAATCATTAATAATAGCCTTACATTCGTAAGATTTTTGTATAACAAGTCACCCAAAATACTAGCTCACTAATTTATATGTAACATTACCTTTTATTAAATTAAAACCTTTTGAATGATGTTCACAAGCAAAAACAAGCATTCACAACAAAACTACTGCACCCTCAAATTAATTGATAATTAAGAACAGCCACACATCTCCAGTGCAAAATAAAACAAACACAGAAGTGAATAACTAGATGAATATTTCTACAATAATTAGAACAAATAAAGTTCAACAAACGTTCCCATTATAAATAATTATCCTTCAGAACAAAGGCACTGAATCCGTAAACAATAATAAGATAAGAAATAAAATTTAGTTGATAACGACGAACAAGACAAGCCATATATCTAGCGGGCATTTTACTTAAAAATGTTCATACATGTCTGTACCACTCACAATTTATGCATGACATTGAAGAGGTCAGGTCGTCTATTATAAGTTTCACACAACATATAAAATATGTTCCTTCCTATATTAATTATTGGTTAAAGCAAATTCTTTTAAAAGTGAAAGTAGCCATTTGTCTGTAATTATCACAGATATATTTAAAAAAATGTTTACATGAATTGAAATATATGATTTGTAAAT